GATATATCGCATCGATTGAGGAGAAAATCTTGATCTACCTATTATTTATAGTCCAGAAAAGGACGATAGCCCCTAGGTATGAGCTTAAAAAATCATCCTCAATAGAAAAATTGGCAAAATTTAGAAAAATGAAGGCAGGATTCTATAGGGGAACAACCTCACATTCAATACAGTATTCGACTTCTGTATCGGTTGCGAGGTTTTTCTTCTTTTTATCTTTTTTTCAAAAGATAATCTTGCCTTCATTTTTCTGAATGGGCCTGTTGCGAACCGCGGCTAGGGCAAAGAGAAGAGTTTTCGGAAGGCGCCTGTTGCAAATTTCAGCTAGAGCAAAGGGAAGAGTTGATTCTTGAGAAAAATGGCTCAAAAATCACGATAAGTAATTGCATCGAGGAGGTTTGGGGGCTTTTAAGGCACAAAAAAAAGGGACAGCGCCTTCAAGTAGTACTAGATGCAACACGCACGTTCTATGAGCACAAATAAGTGCATCCAGGCGCTACAATCAAACGCATCGTATTTGACTGCCATAGAACTGCTAAAAACTGCAGTACACTGAGCAGTTTCGAAGAGGAAGGGAGTGTCGGCCAAAATTTTAAAATTTCACATTTCTTGCCCAATTTCTCACTGTGCTTGTGTTACCAATGACTTATTACGAGTGCTACGTAGAGCAGTGGTAATTTTCTTCGAACGGTTGGACTTCATTTTGCAATAAGGAACTAAAATTTCTGACTCGAACATAAAAACACTGATCTGCATGGGGAAACTAACGGTAGGCATGTTGTCTCTACAATAAGTTAGAGAGTGTAGTTCCTGATTACAAAATGTAATCCAATTGTCGGAGTGATCAAGTTTTACAATGTTTTCACGAAACTTGACCTTAGTCCGTTTACGCCCTCCTTAAAAAAAGATCGAAGGACTATTCTGCAATAGAGAACTGCTACTGCTGGCTCAGTCATAAAAGAACCTATCTGAATACGGACACTAATAGAGCACACGCAGTTCCTAATATAAATCAGAGATAGTAGTTCCTTAGTGCAAAATGTAGTCAATGAATATGTAACTATAAAAGGCGTAAAATTGCACAACCACTAGTGATTCGTCAGTTACTGTGTGGAGATAACCTACTATCTATGCTTTAATTTGAGAGAATATAAACAAAAATTAGGTAACTCACTCACATAGTGTGCAAAAACTGGTTGCTCTATTGATATTGAAGAGATAGGATGAGGGAGGGGATGACTCATCTGAAACAAAATAGGCAAGAAATGTGATTAAAATTCAAGTTTATGTACTTGTGCCAAGCAAGATTTTGAACAAATACATGTATGAATCAGGTTTTCCGTTGACATTGAAAGGATGATACATTCAAAACACCGCTTCATATGAAATCAGCGATTCAATTCCAACAGCCAAGCGGACTAAGTAAAGACCGAAGTGCTCCTAATAGTAGAAAAATGTTTCGCGGTGTTGACTGACGGGAATTGATAACAAAAAATTATAATAAAGTGAACAGATGGACTTAACATGTATCATCTACAGCCGAAAATTTTCAAAAGCTCATGAACACTTCAACGTAACACTCGTTGAAAAAGAAAACTCTCTCCCATGCAGGGATGAATTTTGAGGATAGTTACTTTCAAGTGAATTTGCATAAAAAACGGCATGTCTTATTGGAGTTTTCAACAGAAAATACTTTGCTCTGCTCATGAGTTTAGCAGAATGCGAACGATTGGTTCAATTTTTGTGTTGAAATTTTGATTAGAAGTTCCGTTTAAATTGGATGATTTCGAGTTCCAAACACGACAAATAATAAATGCATACTATATCATTTCTCATATTAAAAACGCTTCTCAGCTGGAAACGCTATATGAGAGGAGGTCTAACCGCTTGATTTTCAGGAAATAAGCTTTTAACAAATTACTTTTCCTTCAAGGTGGGCGCATCTTATATCATAAACAATCGACCGTCAGTTTCAGAATTTTCAAGACTTTTCAATAGTATATCTCTGCAGAGAAGGAAAGGTAGCGTGGGTAAAATTCAAAATCTGGATATTGTTAATTTTTTGAGTGATATTTTTAATTTTTGATTTTTTTCCTGCAATTTGTCGACTTTTATCCTATAGATTGTTATGCAGAAAATTATGCATCGTCTGTGCTGCCAACGCATACACTGCAGGAAACCCACGTTTAGGAGGAGAGAAAAGGGTTGAGTTGAATTCGAATTAATCATCAATGCCTTCATTATGACATGAAAGTACGGAGTTGTATTGCCCATTGATGAGGAGGAGTAAAGTAATTGGGCCTCCATTCTGGCGTACAACGCAATAATACATTCCGCAGAGGAGTTAAAAATGAGTCATTCCTCAAAGGATGGTCGAGCCCTGATTCAGACCGATAAAGAGGGGCATTTTCGCTTGCAGAATCATGGAATTATACTAAATATCGACGACCAAACTCCCAAACCAAGTATCTCGATCGTGGTGTTTAGAAATTTTCGCTTCTACTTATATTTCTGTACAGGAGAAGAAATTAACATAATTTCTTAAAGTTTTCTCAGAATTTGCTTCGGAGAGAGATGAAAAACCATGGAAGTTCTTGGCAAAACAGGAGACAGTTGGAAAATAAACGCACTTTTATGTTAACGCTAGTTTAGGTTAGTTTGTTGACAAGTCAGCGATGCCTTACCTTCTAATGATAAATGAGGTGAAAAGACTGAATAATGATTGTGGGTATAAAGAACTTTCCTAGCTTTTCTCGGAAAAAATGTAAAATAGGGAGAGACGAGGCAAAGTTGGAATGCTCATAGGCGTCGAAACACAGCATGGGCCTTTAAAGTTCTATTATTCGATGCCGCGATTATTCTAACGCGAGTTCTAATAATCGCGCCAAACACAGTGCACCAGGCGTTAAAGTTGTATTAGCGCCTGCAAGACTGTAGAAATACTTCACGCATTGCGCTAAACGCTGCGATCGGCGTCGAGCCCATATTAGCGCCTACAAGACTGCATGAATACTTCTCGCATTGCGCCAAACGCAGTGCTGTCGGTCAGTTGGCAGCGTGAAACGCACATTAGCGCCCACAAGACTGTAGGAATACTAGAGGACTGCGCGCCATCATTTTTGAATTTCTGCTCCAGATTTTACCACACTTAAAGGGAAAATATACATCCTCATTTGTAACGATTCAGAAACTCGGATGATATTTGATTTTTTTTTTCTTTCTTTTTTTCTTTTTTTTTTCTTTTGTTACATTAAAAGGAAATAGAACAAACGCAAATATTGCGTCGAAATTTTCGATACTTTTATTTAAGATCATTCAGGCCGTTAATGCGTGGAAACTTTTCAGAAAAATTGTATGTAGCTTTTTAAGAACATGTATGAAAAATAAAACATAAAAGTGGTGCATAACGTTGCAAACAGAAATAAATATACGCTTTTTTTCGGATGCACCCGTCGGGTTTTGAATCCATTCATCTCTTAGAGAACTTGAACATGGTTTTTCTACGATTTTTCACGTGGAGTTTTTTCAGTGATTGGCGGCCGCGTAGCAGCCATAGGCCCCTAGTTCACTTTTTAGATGTCTGCGAAAGCTCTCTGGGCCATTGGTGCTACGAGGGCTGACCGTCGAAGAAACACATGCCCGTAAGTGAGGAGGGAATGAACAATTTTCCGCGATATGGTTATTTACCACAAACTACCAAGGTTGCTAGATTAACGTTTCCTCGTTGAATATTGAATATTCGCGAAAACATGTGAGTTTTCCGTACCAGAAAAACTCGCGCGATCCTATGCATCTCCGAAAAGTTAAAAAAGAGGGCATTCGCGCAATCCTTTCTCAGCCGTCTACTACAGCAGGCTGGCCGAAAATCAGTACTTTTACGGGACATTCCCATGGAATTCAGTATCTATTCAACCGAAAAATTCAGTACTTTTTCAGTACCTTCATTTTTAAAAAATCGGAAAATTTCGAAAATGTGAAATCCTCGCTCAAACTGCGACCAAAGTGATAGGTACGTCATTTACTTTAAAAAAAAAAATTAATTTTAAATTAATAAATATAGTAAAGGTATTTAATAAACATTAGCAAAGTAGAGATGTAGAAGAATATATTTAATAATATTTAAAAGCTGTACTAATAAAACACGTAACGTGTCTACGGACACGTAATTTCATTGGTAGCTTGAGGAATAATTGGATTGCATTTTGCAAAAAGGAACCACGAGCATTCCAATGTCGCTAAGATTGTGCAAATTTGTTTACCTTGCAAATATCAACTGATCATCCAAACAAGTTTCATCTTTTGTCTCAATAATCTATAAATTCAAGGCAAAATGTACCAACGTAAATTTAATTTTTCGCTTGATTTCAGAAATTTTATTTCAATGGATGTATGTTGCACAATCTTAGCAGTGGCGTGGCGTGAATTGTGATATATCTGTTGTTATGCCATTTGAACCTATTGTAATGAATCGATTATTAAGGTGTTCGCTGCGAACACCCTGTTTATCGATCCTTTTCCATGGGTTTAAATGGCATAGCAATCGATATATCGCAAAGCACGCCACGCCACTGAATCTTAGCTACATTGGAATACTCTTGGTTCCTTTTTGCAAAATGCAATCCAATTGACGACACAAATCGCGATATCGCGGGCAAATACTACTCTAAGAATAAACGCGGAGGGGATTGCATTCTTCCCAAGCTTTATTAAAAAACCACGCGTGGTACGAAGGAAAAAACTCCGGACCTCCTTGCGGAATTTCCGCACTTTTTCAGCGCTTCCGGACCGCCCTTAAAAAATAAGCACCATTTCCGGTTTTTCCGGACTCGTAGACACCCTGATTATAAGTAACCCTCGGTGTGGAATCCTTCCTAGTGCAATTTAGGGGTGCACTGTGCGGTGGGCGGCGGGTTGGGGGGGTGGTTCGGAGCGGAGCGGCTCCTTGCCGGCTGGCCGGAAGATGCCGAAGTCGAACGAAGCTGGCGGGCCCGCGGAGACCCAGCTACATACGTCTCGCGGCGCGGGTTCAGTGATTCAGTGACCACTGACTGCGCTCTCGCTCCAGCGACCCCCGGCCGGCGCCTCATTCATAATTCATAACTCACATCCTCGCATTCCGCCAATGTTGACCGTGGTCACGACCGCCCCCAAACTCGCCCGGTAAACATTCCAGCCAGTGTTCAAAATCGTCGTCTCGCACGTGTTTTCCTATCAGTCGATTTCCGAATCGAACTTTCTTCCGTGAAAAAAATTCATCGAAACGGTGCGTTTTTCAGAGTTTTTAAGTATCCCGCGATGGGACGCACGTTTGATTTTGAGGGTGTGCTCCTGGTCGAGTGATAAACGTTCATGGGTGTGCATCGGTTGCCCCTCTCGCATGGTTCTTTTTAAACCTTCGAAATTCCTGGTTGTTGGGGATTATTGCTGACTCACTTTTGCGGTGTTGTACATAGAAATCTTGATTATCAGGTAAGGAGGAGTCGCTTATTTTCTTGAAATTAAATTTGAGTAGGATTCGATTTTCTGTCAATTTTGACGGTTTATTAGACCACGGGCTTGAATCCATGCACGTGTTGAATGATTCGTCATAGTCAGATTTGTTGACTAATAATTACGGTATCTATAAAATATGTTTTGGGTTTTCAAATCTTGAATATTATTTTTCATTACTTTCATTAATGCTATGTTCTAACTATCACGCGATCAAAAGTTTCGCTCGTAAATTGCTTGTATCTGTATTCGTGACAGGGTCTGTGAAAAGGGACGTAATCCTCCAGAAGAAAATTTTCCTAAACTTTTTGCAAAAGCTCAAGCCACATTTTTCTAAAAGCTAAGAATTTTTGTTCTGGAACCCCAAGATTCGTATCTCCTTCAATTCTTGAGATTTTAGAGTCAAACTTGCGACAAATTTGCCGATTTTCTTTCACCGCATGAATTTTTAAAAAGTTAAAGAAAATGTTCTCACGGAATATAATTTAGGTCCCTTTTCACAGAGCAATTTTATTTAGTTTCCTGAAAATTTGGAAACCCAATCTCATTTAAGAGTTTTTCATGACTCCAGGCTAAACATTGATCAAGGAGAGAAGCTTTTATGCTTCGAAATCATCCTTTTTCCTCTTCTGTTTTCAAACTTACCCATTTAAGTATAAGTGCATGAATACTCGACGTACCACTTGCAGCCATATCTTGTCTTTTTTAAACTTTAAGTTCAGGTATTTTTGCAATCACGGATTGCGTCCATAGACTTCAAATTGTTGAGCGAGATCAATTTTCGAGCCGACTGGCCTCCACAAATTTAGAAACAAAAGGTACAGTCAAAAGATGAATGAGGATCTAGAAAAAATACTCTCGAGCCATTTCAAATGCCTTTACATACAACTTTATTCACCATTTCACCAATACTAAAATTTATCGCGTCAAAACAAATATGTGTACATTAACAATTTTGCGCTGGATTTACCATCGTGCGATGAAAAAAGTAAACCCTTGAGAGATCTATTTTAAGGCTAACGATAGGAAAAAATCATAAGTTAGAGTCTAATTCACTCAAGAGCAGTATCTGCTCACTTTTCTTATCCTCCATTTTTGGATCAGTTTACGAGAAGCTTTGAATTAAGTCGTGGACCCACTAAAGTCAAGAGGAGCACTTGCAAGACCTATTTTTAAATACAAATACAAAAACATTTCAAGTAAAAAGCATATGGTCTTAACGATATAATCTCATCAGAGTAAATATCATTTAAAATGAACTCAGGGTTTTAGTTTAACATGAGTTTAAAGCTCTAAGCTTTCTTACTGTATCAAGTTTACATTTTCAAGTTAATTTTATTACATGAGAGTTTCAATCCTTATTCGCTACTCTTCGAAAAACTATCATCGGTGATTGATTATGTGTTCCTTAGCGCCTGTCAATTGTGGTAGTGCTGAAAATTTCACCCACAGAGCAGGTTAATCTGAAGGAAGGAGATGACATTAATGTGATTCCGAAATGAGCGCATTTGAAGTTGAAAATTTTCGTTGATCTCAATGAAAAATTATCTTTAAATTTGAATATTGATGCGGAATATTAAACTTTCGTGTTCATTCAGAAAATGTAGTGTTTTAAGTATCCGACTTTTTTTAAATATATATATTTTTTATTTTAAATCGACTTCACTTAAACTTTTAGCCTCCCGTAATATAAAAATATGAATTTTTGCAAGTGCACCCATCTTTCAAATTCTTTGTAAAGACGTCAATATTAGCCTAAGATGCTGGATGTCTATAAATAAATCAACTAACTAACTTTCCATTTTCGTGCCGCCCCTCAAATGGATTTCCATCCATTACTGGCGTTTATCCTACGAACACGACGTGTTATCAATTTATCACAGAAAAGCCAACTCCTCTGCTTATCGATGACATTATTTTCATGAAAAAAATAACGATGCAATTGTTATCCATTTCATTGATGGAACATTTCCTTCCAAGAGGATAATTAAGTATGCAAATATGCAATCGAGTTGATAAATTTGCAATTTCTCCTCTGGAAACGGTCCAGAGATGTCTCGCATTATCATGCGAATTTTTTCAATTTGATTACCGAAAGTCACATTGAGCGGTTTGAACTTGCTACGATTTTGCAGCCTCGCAAGTATCCTTTAATATTTTTAAACATGGCGTAGAAAATTTCGAGTGAACAGTGTATACACTCGACAAAACGTCACTCCTCTGACGTCAGGGCGCATCTCGATTTCCGCATGAGCCCTAGAAAGCATGGACTTATATGTGAAACAGTGCTCATGTGAAACGCCAGTTACGCCCTTACGTCAGAAGAGCGACGAAAAGGGAGGGAGCGGAGGAAAGCGGGTTCGTAGAGACGGAGCGAAATTTCAAACCTGGGAGAGCTCGGCGGGTTGACAACTCCCGCCATTTGTCCGGCCAATCAACGTCGAGCTCAGCTTTGATCCCGCCTCTTTTGGTGCACCCGCGGTTTTGCTTATTAAAGTCATGGTAGGAAGCTCCTTTTTATCCCCATTTTCATTGTTTTTCACTTTTAGCAACCTAATTTAGGAGGGGGGTGGGGGTGCCGTGCTTGGTAAAAGTGCCCCACGTGATTCACACGAATATCCTCCGAGCGAGAATATGGTAGTCAGTGTTATGGAAGATTTGAAATAAAAAGTCTCTTCGATGACTCATAGTTTAATCGCAGGTTTGGGCCAATAATTTCTTATGAAGCTTTGCTCTATGTTTCCGATTCAGCCAGTGTTCGAAACTCACAGGCGCCAACGCGCCAATTGCGCCTAAAAAGTCGTCCATGGCGCCTAAAAAACGAAGGTTCTGCGCCAACGTGGCCCCTAAAAATTGCCTCCCCCCCCCCTAAGTTACAGCTACATGTTCTTTAACTAAAACATCTTACGCCTGACTTTTCACTAAATGCTCGCAAAAAGTCAATTTGGCCCCTTAAATATCTTCTATGGCCCCTAAAAATCGAGCTTAATGCGCCACAGGGCGCCTTAGACTCAAAGGTAAGTTTCGAACACTGGATGCAACGATGATGCAATGGAATAATTTTAGGCTTTAGATTTCAATATTTATTTATACACATACGAAAAAAACTAAATTCATCCCGTCACAAATAGCTAGTTAATGAATTTTTCTTCTTCTTTTTTTTCTGATGGTTTATGTAAGACAGCTATCGCGGATCAATCGTTGTATTAAAACGTATCGTTGATGTTAAAATTTCAAAATCCGATTGGAACAAATCAATAAAATTGTTTGAAATTTCACAGGAAGTTTCTCGCACAGAATAGAAAATTTGTGGAAAATTCCATGGGCTAACATATAAAATAATGCAGATAGTTTTTAATTCAACTGTTCGCGGAAAAGAGACCCCAGGAAAGAAAATTAGACTAGAGAATCCTAGGGTTCTGTATTATTTTTCACAAAACTTCCTCGTTTGAATTGAAAATAATCATTTCTCCAGTGGGCCTGATACAGTTTTTCACGATCTTGAGTGTCAATTGGGGGACTTTCTGGAGGGCAATCTAACTAGAAAACTTAACTAAAGGCGACAATTCACCACCTTCAATCATTCATTTTAAACCGACCCTTCAAGCCAATAGATCGCTATTGCTAACAGGATCACTCATCACAACCAACCTTTCATGCAAGATCAAATTTTACTTGAAAATGTGTTATTGACCCGAGCATTGTGTAAATGAGAACAATGCAATTCTGGAAAGCACGCTTTCTGATAAAAAAAAAAAAAAAGGGGGGGGGGGCGCGCAAATTGATACTTCTTCTCCAGACGATGGACAGTAATCTGGCGAAAACGACCATGCTGTAACTAAACATAGAAAATATCTACGGTGAAATTGTCAGACCACGTATCTCGATTTGCGGCGTTGTAGACTTCCTGTCATACTTTATTTTTTAAATGGAAAACTAGTCAACGTCAATTCTCGAAATTTTCCGTTTTTCTCCCTCTTTATCTGAAGAAAACTCTGTGAAAATATCAATAAATGATATTGATTTGTTCTCCTTCAAGAAAATAAAATGGGGGCAAAAATTTTTAAACGCCGGAAACGAGATACGTGATCTGGTACTTTCACCGTTGTTACATAGTTCACAACCTCAAAGAAATGACGAATTCTCTCGCCTTTATAGGGACGAGGTATACTGGCGTGCTGAGGAAAAACACCGTATGTACATCCGAGAGTTGCCAAATTTCCCATCTTAAAATGTCAATTTTTGAAACGCATAATGAATATTTTATCTATTTGAAATTCTCTGATACTTAAGATTACATTGCGAAGAAAATCCTCTGGAAAATCGGACGGAAAATTCATACGGCGTTCTTCCTTAGCACGGCAGTATAGCGACCCATTATGCCGTATAATCGAGGTTTTACTACAATTGGACCGCGTTAAACAGAAAGAAACCAAGCCACATCAGCGATTGCCAAATTTAATTAGGCACTTTAATTTTTTACATGAAAACTGTTGTGCGGATTATAGTGCAAATTTTAGTGAGTTTTCTCTATAATACAAAGCAAATTCCATACATTTTTCCAAGGAATCTGCACAGACGTTAAATCTCTCGTAAAAAATGAACTTTCCCTGTTAAATTTGGTAATATCTGATGTGGCTTGGTTCCTTTCTGTTTAACGCGGTCCAATTAAAAATAAACATTTTATCGAATCATTCCATCAGCTGGACAATCACTCCCGATGAACCAAAAACTTGCAATTTGCTCTTAGCCTGGAAGTCATTGCGAGGGAGGAACGAGGACAGGGGCGTTAAAGAGGAAGGGGTGACAAGAGGAATAAGGCGCCGTGGCGGCACACGAGCGGCTAATGCTCAAGGTGCACGTGAAATTTAAATATCAGACATGCCGCAAGCCGCCTCACGGCCTGGCGCGCGCCGAAGGAGGCATAAAAAGAACCGAGCTCCGGGAGGGGAACCGCGAGCAGTTCCGGAGCCCCCCCC